ATATTTATTAAAGCAAACAAATTACAATTTGAGACACCAGCAGTTTTCAAAACCTAAAATAAGACCTAATTACGGTACACAAAAAATATCCTACCAGATACCCGATCTTCTTAACAGAAATTATTGTGTATTCGAATTAGCCCAGACAATAGCGTCCGTGTTTCTTTTCAAAAAATACCTTACGGTATAGGGTACTTCAATGTGCCTAGTGTGTATTCTTAGTATAGTTCACATCAAAATAGATTGTACATTTTTTGAGTGTCATATTTTTATCTTCTCAGATATTGTTTTATTTTTTATTTATGCTGTTTTTGATTCATTTCCTGTGCCCTGCTGCTGAGTGCTGTAACGGGGGTTGGGGACCTAGTTAGGTGATTCTTTTTCGCCTTTTGTCCCAACCTCCCTGACAGTTGTGTCAAAAATAAAATAAACAAACAAACAAACAATTTGAGCACTTGACCGCAGCGCCCTCTCGTCTATAAACGTTGAGCCAATGCAAGCAAAGTTTAACGCGATTATATACGCATTTGACCGCAGCGCCCTCTCCTGTATAGACGTTGAGCGGCTACGTGCAACGTTTAATCCATGACAAACCCCAGCTCTTGAGTTACTATCATATCTCAGAGCCCCCTACTCGTCCCGCAGTTGTGGCTGAGTGGTTAAGGCGATGGACTAGAAATCCATTGGGGTCACCCCGCACAGGTTCGAATCCTGTCAACTGCGCAAACATTTTTTCTTTTTATGTGAGCACGGACGCCGGACTGATGGACAAGGCTAAACCCTAAGGAGCTTCGCCCTAAAAACTTTCGCCAGTAAAAAAAAAGAAAAAAAAAAACTAACCTTTAGTGGTTTGTATTGGCGTGGGGCAGTCTACCCCTAAACAGTACGACTTCATGCGTATTCGCATTGAAAAAAGAATGAAAAGTGTCCTCAGAGATGAAAGGCATGACGGCCTCGTCCTTTGTCCACGTTGGGTGATCGGAAGTCAGAAAACAATAAAGCTTGCAAATCGCACTTAGTGGCAGAGTGTCCACGCCCTGCAAATGCTGAGAAACCGAAACTCCAGATAGTTGACGCTACCAAGATGGCCGCGTGCACAGAGCTGCCAGACCACCAAGCAGTTTCGCGTGTGGTCTATACACTCCGTGCGGGAACTATAGGGGGCGCTTTGAAAAACGCGCGCAGCGCCGCTAGCGGAGGAGCTGGCGTTCGACTGTGAGGCGCGTTCAGCAGCCTGCGGCGCCTTTTCGCATGCTAAGCTGTGGCGGCGGAAGCGCGCATGGACGACACTTCTGCTTTTTGAGCCGATAAGTTGAGGGTGACGTTGCATGAGTGCTGGGGCAGAAGGGTATTTAGCTGTTCTCCACTTATATATCGAGTTTGAGTCGTTATTAGGGGTAATTTCTCTAGTTGCGGCCGAAAAAGGAGTTGGAGCACTTTTCCGAAAAACAAGACGGCCGCCACCATAATTGCTCTGAGTGGGAAATTTATTCCGCTCGTCGCTGTAAACCTAGGACTGCTGGAACGATGATATTTGGAGGCGAGTGAGATGTTCACTAAGTTTGTGCACGAAGAGTGCCAAGTTTCTTTAAGACAGCAGGTGTGAAAGTTATGTTTCTAACGAATAAAGAAATAAAGATGTACGGGATATCCAATATTGGACCCAAAATGTTGTGTTATAGCGGGCTGTGCAAAGTGCAGATTTGGGCACACAGGTGCTTGGACTTGACAGTAATATGACACAGCACTTATTATACAAAAAAAAAAAAAAAAAGGTGGCACAGGGAAATTACGTGAAAATTTGGTTTGGGCGGCGTAACTCAACGGGAACCGGTTTTGACCATGAAAAGGCTGTCAAGAGAATACCACTGATCAGGGGAGGTAGATACATTAGAGGTAGGAAGGTACTAGTGGACTGTACTTCCAATTGAAACAACTTTAAGAAAGGTGGTTCCAAAGCCGAGAAAACAAAGTTGTCGGCCAACGCACGGTTTGGCCGCCAAGGGCTTTTGCGGTCAGCTGTTGTGTAATAGCCTGTTGTGCGAGGTGCTGATTTTCGGTGCACAGGTACTTTGACATGACCGTCACTTGGCACAACACTTATTATGACAAAAAGAGTTGGCATAGCGAAACCAGGTGGAAATTTAGTTTGGGCGGCGTAACTAAATGGGAACTGGCTTTGACCGTCAGAGGCTGTCTGATAATACCACTCATCGTGGGAGGTGCACACTTTACAGGTAGGAAGGGACCAGTGGACGGTACTTCCAGTTCGAACCACTTTGCGATAGGTGGCTCTAAAGCCGAGAAAAAAAAATAGTTGTCTACAGAACTCGGGGTGTCAGCGTTTCCACATCCAAAAGAAGGCGGATCAAGAAAGAAAGCACACCACATAAACTTCCATACTGAAACGTCGATTCTCCAGTGATTCCGAGTTTCATTGATGTTTCCTTTAGATTTATATTTGTCACTTTTTTTACCGTTCGAATCTTTCTTCATGAAATACAGATTGCGTGCCATACTTGTCCGGAAATATCATCGACACGTACGATGGGGACGAAACTTCTTTGGAGGGCATTCCTCCAACGAAATTGGCACTGCATACCCGCGAGTGTGGGATGGCATTTCAGTTCGTCCCATTGGCGCTGACACATGAAGGCGCTACTGGTACGAAAACAAACGCCGAGCGCAAAGCGGCAGTGTAGAATATGTCAGCCGTGCCGACACAGTTGCAGACATGATCGGGAGACCAAATTTCTCGCGTCGTACAACACGGCTCCATCGTTGTCGCTGTCCCACAAAACATCGGCGAGGTGAAAAACTGTGAAACTTTGTCTCCACGAGATACGACGCATAACTATTGAAGCACTTAATGACGCAGCACAGGCAGCACTTCATGCTGTGAACCCAGCGCAACCGCACCACTCCGACTTCAATGCGTACCAACGCACGCGGCGTGGTTTCGGTTTCGTTTTCTCTGGGGTTCTCACTGCCTACCTTCGGTACCGGCCGCGCGGCGGCGCGCCGGTCGCGTCGCACGGAGTGTATAGACATCCACATTCAAGTCGACTGTGGAGAGCTGAGGCAATCCGAAAGTGTAGTCTCCATGAAAGCCGGGGAACAATGGATAACAAAATATCCTGTGGACTATTGCTCAACTGTTGTAGTTCTACAGTAGACTCTCATCAATTCAAACGCCAGGAAACCACAAATGTTGTTTTAATTACCATAAATTGATATAAATATGATGCAAGATACAATAGTCCTTTGTTATATGGATGGCTACATATACAAAGTAGATATTTCATGATTTCCTCTACGCAGGCGTACTAATCATATGCAGGTGTGGCGTGGCACACATGAAACATTAGTGAAATGTGCGAGATAATTGTTTATTCAATCCTCAGAAATGTTTTCTGTCGTCAACTTTTTAAAGAGCACATGACAGCTCAAAATAAAATTAAGTTTGTTCATCCAGCAAAAAAGCTGTCCATTGTAGACTATCGGCCCCGTCGAGCGTGCTTCTTACCAAGCAACGGTGCATTGCAGAGAAGCGACACCTGCGGAAGCTAGCTCCACAGATGTTGCTTCTCTGCAGCGCATCGGAGCTTGGCAAAGGCTGGCTCACACAGTTGCATCAACTGGGTTGCACTGCGCTGCGTCGTGCTGCACGGTGCCTCCCCATCGGCTCGTTGTAAGGGTTGCCATAGCAACAGCTGCACGCAAGCAGTCTTAACGAGGTGCAAGTGGTTGCAGTCGCACTGCAACGTAACTGTGTGAGCGAGCCTTAAAGGGGCACTGACACTTCAAGGTCGTTTTTTTTTTTTATTGTCTAAAACGATGCATGTTGTAGTCATGAACACGCAAAAAAAAAAGTATCACGAAAAAAAAAAATTTTCCCACGAGCACGCCCGCCTTTTTATTTTTGGCGCCCTCCTCTCCCGCTTCTTTTGATTGGTGACATCAAGAATCATGAAATTTAGAAGCTTTGTAGGCGACATTCCTATAACATTTAATAATGGCAATCGTAAAACATGTTTTTTGACGCAACTGCAAACACACTATGGCCTTTCTTTTTGAAATAGCAAAAATCAGAGTCCATTGTGATGTCACCTTCTGGATTTTTATCCTCCCTCAGAAAACATGGCGGCGCTCGACGCATGTAGCAGAGGATGATCGGTGAATCGGACAAAGTGGACTTTTTTAGGTGCCCGACGACCTCTCAGTTTTGAAAAAGGAAATCATCAAACGGTCAAAACAACTGGGTTTGGTGTCTGTGTATCATAGTTTTGGTTGTGACACCGCCGGGGCGTCTGCTCGAAGCAATAGGCAGCATGGCACTCACGCAGGAAACCGGTTTCCTGGTACGGTGCTTCCCGCTCTCACCTCCTCGCTTTCGGAGCGGAGGCGGAAAAGAAACTAGACTCTCAGGAGCCCTCAAACGTTGACGTCACTCCACTGGCGCGGATCGTGCGGGAACTTGAAATTCGGCATTTGGAAATTGTTTTTTTACTTCACATACTAAATTCCCAAGTTTCGAATTTTGAAGGTAATGTCCAGGCATCGTTTTCAATCCTTTCAAACAAAAAAAAAAAAAAAAAAGATTTTGATGTGTCAGTGCACCTTTAAGAAGCGCGCCCAATGGGGCCGCAAGAACAAAAAGCATGAATTACATGAAAACGCCGTTTGAATTAAGCGGCTTATAAATACATTAAAAACATAGCGGAACAACCAGAATTTTTTAATTTGTTTGAATTAACCAGAAGTATGAGATAGCAGAGAGTGAATCATCACAAGCCTACTGTATTTTAAGTATGGTAACTGATGTCCAGCTCTGTGGAACAATGGATCCTTGCAGCAATTTGAAACTAGACAAGAAAGCATGCAAAAAAAAAAGTTCCAAAATGACAGTTCCGTCCGTAAAAAATGCAGCCCCAATGATCATCTCCAAATTTGTTACACCTTCCAATCGAGAATTTAAGTCAGACACAATCTGGGCCACGGAAAAGATCCAGAGAAGATATTGTTTATTCGATTAAGACTCCCACCCGACATGCCTTGAACAGGCATTAAGGTCTTTCCCCTCAATGACACTCCTAGTTATGAATATTTTTGTACAATGACACACATTCCTATGGCAGCTGGCCTATATGTACAACTGGCACGCAACTTTTACCAACATTCCAAGCTCTGCACTGAACGGTCTGTGAGTAAAGGAACTTTAGAAAAGCAAAGTCCTTTCGTGTTTTCCGAAGGGGCCATTCACCGAGTGACATTGCGTGGCCTAAAACCCTGTGTGCAAGACACTGCTGTCCCACTTCCTTGCCACCATGAGCCAGGAAGTCCACCAACGTTTGAGGAGCGCGTTTGAGGAGCGCACGAGACTGCCCATCTTAACTTTTGCTTCCCTGTCGAGCGCTATCAAGACACAGCGCATCCTTGCGAGGGAATCCACAACTGCATCACCAACATTCATATAAACAGTCGCTGACCGATTCTTCCGACTTGGCAGGGACCAAAGAAACGTCCCAAGAATAGAGGAGATTAAAAAACTTGCCTTTATTATGCCTAAGCGGGCTTAAAAAAGCCGTTGATAGTGCCTCGCCTCATGTTATGCCTCCGCTTGCGATCGGCCACTTTCGGTTAGCAATCGCTGTTTTCTTTTCTAGCGTCATGGAAGAGTACCTTGCACGCTTCTTAGCAACACTTGGCGGCGGCAGACGAACACATGGGGCTGTGATGCCCAAGCTGGCATAGCACAAAAACACGATTAACCGAGATGAGAGGCGTAGGTCCATAACTGCAGAATGGCAAATTAACAAAGCAAAAAGAGGGAAAAGCCGTAGCATACTCTCACCTATACTTGGCAGTACTCAAGTAGAGCTGCCAAGCCACTTCATGTGCAGCCAATCTAAAATGACCGCTTCCTGGGGCTGTTTCCCGCTGATTGCTCGTGACGATTTTGTCCGAAAAATTCAACTTAGCTGTCCAAAACATTGATCGTGAATATGCACTATTTCTATGAGGTAGATCACAGTTCTTTCTTTAGGTCTGAAATATCAAACAAGTTTGAATTATCAGCGTCCGAAAAATCGGTCGGCGACTATAATACAGATAGATGAACGCTGACTTGGTGACAGCGCAGCCTAGAGCACTGCATGGGCCTACCCCAGAGGTTGGCAATTGCATTGTTCCTAGCCTGGGACAAGGGTGTGTTGCACGGACAAGCACTTTGCCGGATGTCCAGAACAAACTATGAACCCCTTTGAGTTTGAAGGAAAATTGTCTGGAGCAGGAGGGAAAACCTGTCGAGTCCTTCTCCCTTCCCTTAGCAAGTCGTTTGTTGTGTACCTTGTGTACCCTTCTGAGGCACACAGCTGTCTTACTCCTGGACCTTGCATTGTATATTTGTGTTGACTGCCAAGCGTGCAAGACTGTGGCTTGGGGTGCAAAGAGATCTAAGAACGCCCGACTACACCAGCTGCTGAGTCGGTCAGGTCACTTGTTTCAAGACTGCCTCTTAGTTTACGGTAGTTGGGCGGTTCCGATTGTTTGCATGAATTTGGAGCTGGCCCGTGCAGTGCTCTAGTTCAGCAGACTCCCATACAAACAGAAATGAGTATTCCTTCAAGAGTAAACAGGGCTTGCACTGCACCATTTGGCTTCACATGCTTAGCAAACAACTGACCACAGGCACTGCTTCAATCACTTTTTAGCTACCCACCCCAATTGCCACTTTTCAAACTCCACTTGCAAGCATGCAGTTTCTTGCAGTTTACCAGTTTCTCACTAGCAAGCATTCTCTCAAGATTAGGAGCTAAGCTTCGTGCCATGTATTTGCCCCGAACAAACCAAACTCAAGAAATATGAGGTGCTCTTATGGAATGCTACCATTAGTTGGGCCTCTACAGCAATGGCAGCTCCTGTGCGGCCATCCATCTTGGGATTCACACAACCAGGGGCTTCCTTCTTCATTACGAATAACTTGCTTGATCACTCATTTATTAAGACTTGCTTCATTAGTGGCTAGTCTTGCACGCTCAGTGAGTTTGTACAAACAGCTGCCCTCAAGCAAAGATAAACAAACCACTGGTCACCATATCTATGTAGCCTAAAAGTTGCACAAATCCCAGCCCCAGAAGCAAGGGAACGCTTTTGCTCACAGCTGGTCGCTGAACAGTTGGGGAGAAGAGGACAAACTTTTGTTCAGAGGTCAAAAACGAGCTGCTTTCACCCACAGAACTGAAAACCAATCTTTCTCATCTGCAAGGGCCATCATTTATGTTAGTAGCTGTGTCTCGTTCCCCAATAGCATACATGCTACTGACTAGGTATACAGACTGTTTCGAGTAGGCTTTGCACTGATCACATATCAAAAGCAGCGCAACCACTCCCAGCTGAATGTAGCCCCGCCGTTCATGGGTTTCACGGTGCAAAGTCAAAATGATGTAGCACTAATCAAACAACTGAATGTTCATGCTTTAGAATGAGCACAAAGCCACAAACACTGGCAATATTTCAGGAGCTCCCGACACCTCAATAAAGAAAACCTGGAGTGCTGGTATCCTGTAACCCCATCAAAACAGCCTTGTGCATTCATCCCGAGCTAAAAACAAATTATATTTCGGTTGCAGTTTCCAGACAATGACAACATCTGGGGGTCCCAACACAACCTTGTTTTATGGGGACACAGTTCTTGAATGATGCACCTAGAAACATTTTGTCCACACACTTTTGGAGAATCCACAAACGGAAACATATCACAAAGAAGACTGCATAGTCTCCAATGGCGTGCATGTAGCAATGACTCGTTTAAAATGACGCCTCAAATATTTTTTTTTTTTCGTTTCTGTCGTGTAGGTGATTAAAAATATTTTCTACTTATCATAGAAAAATAGTTTTTGTCTTTCACAAGCTGAGGGAAATTCTCTCCTCCTTGCGTGCCTTTTTAAAAGTTCCACGCCAGCCCACATAAACTCAAGTAAGCTGACAGTAAACTGAATAAATTAATGTTGCCAGCCTCCAACAAACATCTCCACTTGTCCTAAGAGCAACTTTGCAATGTATGGCAACAGTGCAGAGCATGCCTCAGTCGAGAATGCTGCTATTTGATCTAACCATCTCCTGCTGCTGGCTCAGTCGTGCAGAGAAAAACCTGTAGCGCCCACAGCATCCTCCTCTCTCTTGGCTGCAAAGAGTTCACCTCTTTTCAGCAAGCTAGACATCCAGCTGTATCTTGGGGTCTGCAGACGCAATCTTGAGCAAAGACTTCTTCATGCGCAGAGCGGTCAACCGGGCTGACGGATTGTGGTGCCAGCACTCCTTCATCAGCTTGGCTGTGGCCACCAGCGTCTGAGCAAAGAAAAATTACAGTGTGCTTTCTTCTAGCTTGCCCATTGCATTTTAGATGAGTCTCTATGATTCACTCCAATTTATGGTAGAGTCACTGCTCCAGGCACACAAAACACGCAATAAAATGCAAAAGGATCTTCGCAATGCGCTTTTCTTGTCTCCATTAAAAAATGTACTACACCTACCGTAAAATCCTGAAATAGCGCCCACACTCGATAGATCGCCCACTCCGCTTTTATGTTCGAACACGTGTTTCCCTCGAATACTGATAGGTCGCCCACCTTCCAAAAATAGCGATGCCCGAAGGTTGAGAAAGGTGCCGGAGGGTAGGGGAGAAGGTTTGGAAAGCCTAGGATTCCCTTCACAAAAAGAAGAGGCCACACACAATAAGGGAGATAACGGAAGGAACCCGGAAAGCGGTCAAGATCACTTATTGAATGACATCAGGAAAGCGTTGAAGGTCACTTAGTGGTTGTCGTCAGATCGCCCGAGAACCCCAGAAAATCTTTCGACCAGCAAACTGAGAAGACGTTTCTTGTGTATACTCGGGATGAGGTCCAGCTATACCATCCAGAAGAAAGTGGAAGTCGTGGAATGGCACCGCAAGAATGGAGCTAACGTGAGCAAGACTGCGCGCCATTTCGAAGTTGACCAGAAGCGTGTACGGGAATGGAATACAAGCTACCAAGTACTTCTACAACAATACCATGGAACGAACAAGTTGAAGAGAGCAATAGGTAGGGGACGACCCGTTTTTAGTGAAGAAATCGACGACGCACTGATGGACTTCCTGGAGACTGAGAGATCCGCCGGTCGAGCAGTCAGCAATCGCCTGCTTCAAGAGCATGCGCGGAAACTGGCAGAACAGATGGGCCTAGGAAACTTCCAAGCGTCATGCCAGTACATAGCTAACTGGAAGAAGCGATTTAATGTGTCTATGCGGGTGGGGACCAACGAAAGTCAGAAGCTGCCTGCCGACTACGTTGAAGCAATTACGGTGTTCCGAAAGGCTGTGTCAACTCTGCGCCTGGAGCACAACTACTCGGACTACAACATAGCCAACATGGATCAGACTATGGTCCGGATGGATTGCCCTGCTGCGAGAACCAACAATGCTGTCGGCGAGTCGAGTATTCGCATCGCCAACACCGGCTGTGCTCGGAGAGGGATGACGGTGGCCTTGTGCGCGACGGCAGCGGGCATCAAGCTACCTGCTTTGATCGTACTGGAGGAGCCAACCGGCCGGATTCCCCCCAGAGTACTCTTTTCTCTAAGGATTCCAGGTATGTTGTAATTAATCACCATTCAGGGTATAAATGTCGAAACGAAGCCTTAGAAATGCGTAAAAATAAGGCTGACAGCATTTTTTTTTTTTTTAAATAGAGCGACTGTTGCGTCATCCATTGACAAAACGCCACAGCCCGTTTTGTTTTGTATCGCCCCATTTCCGAAAGATGGCGTAGCCGTTCTGGCCGCCGCCATCTTGAGCGCACGAGCAGTTGGCGCGTGACTTGCTGGCTTTCCGAAGCTTACTCACTTGCGCGTGCTTCGGCGCTCGGCCATAAAATCGGGCAGTTCGCATATCTTCACTCATCGGCGTAGCATGTGTAATGTGCGTTTGGGGCCCGAACTGTTATTTCATGTTATACTTGTTGTACTTGCAGCAAATGTGCGAGTTACTTCTTCCAAGAACGGTTGGATGACCTCTCCCGTCCTACTGGAGTGAACTAGGAGAGTTTGGGGCCCGAACGCCGACGACGTGAGGAGACTGCTCATACTGGACCAAGCACCCATACACAAGACAGGCGGCCCGAGAAGCGCTCGACGCAAAAGACACCGACGTCGTCTTGATACCGGGCGGTTGCACGTCCATTTTGCAACCCGCGGACGTCTCATGGATGAAGCCCTTCAAGGACGCGTGGAATTTGGGCATCGTTCTTCCGGTTCGGTGACTCCAAAGGGGCAACCTTCGCAAGCCGTCGCGTCAAGAGGTTGTGGACTTGGTGGCTCAGGCGTGGGCCTCCGTCTCCGAGGATACCGTGCGGAGTTGGTTCAAACGGAATATCCACAGGGCTCGATGGTTCCGAGGACGGCGAGCTCAACGACCGTTTGGCTTCGGTAACCAATGGACCCGAGGATCCCGAGAGCCTCATTGACGAGGCGATTTAATCTTCGATAGCGAAAGCGATGTGTCGTTTGACGGTTTCAGCGATGAGAGCTAGGGAAACCCACGCTGCTTTGGCGCACGCGTTACTCGATTTTTGTTTGTGATTTTCGTTATTAAATACTGAAAGATCGCCCACCCCACTTTTTTTGCCAATTATCTACGGCGAAAAGGGGGGCGTTAATTCAGGATTTTACGGTAGTTTAAAAGTTTTGACATTAGTCCAACTCATGTTGTAAAATCCACTTGGCTGTATACAGTCGAACCCATTTATAACGAACAGCAGGAAAAGCTACGATCAGTTCGATATAGCAAGTAGTTCGATATAGCAAATCCATTTACAACGACCTTTCACGATGCGTTCGTTGAAAGGCGAGAGCTTTTTTCTTCTTCATCTCTTCACTTCCACCTTGTAACAAAACGCTAACATTTTTTTTTTTTTTTTTCGGGTGCGTGCAGATTTTTTTTTTTCGCTTATCTCCCCTACTGAATCGCTTCTCTTTGCGGGCAACCACTTTGGGATAAAAATATTTTTTTTTCTGTGCGTGCGTTCACAGAATTTTTTCTAGTTTTCTCCCCTTTTGAACCGCTTCTCTTCGCTCAATTTTGTTTACGGCTGGAGCTTTTGGAATTTTTTTTTTCTTTCCTACCTTTTTTTGGGGGAAGGCACAGGCTAGAAAACGATTGTTCGTACGTTTTTTGAAGCCTTCCTGGGGGAAAAAGTTCGACATAGCCAATGTGTTGCTCGTTATAAAAAGTACTTTTTACGTGCATTTTTATTTAAATTTTCCGCGAGTTCGATATCGACGATAATTCGCTCTACGGGGGTTTGTTCTACACGGGTTTCACAGTACATCACAAAGCTCCCCAACTGACCTTTCCCCAGCGAGGCTGTTGAATGTTAAAGCAGCGAGAGCAGGGGTGCACAACATGCGGCCCGCGGGCACTTTCTTTGCGGCCCACCGGCACGACACTGCGAGATGTGCTCAAGATGGCAACCACTGCAATGATGCCAGATTTTGAAAGCCCGTGCAGTTCCCAAAAAAATTTCTGGCCCACGTCATTTCTGAGCTGTGGACCTGAGCGAGAGCAAGACTGGAACAAAGCTGCATCCAGCAAGCCAAAACAGGTGGTCGCCCTGAGACGCCACAGCCTAAGGCCAAGCTTTGCAAGCCGACCTAAGCAAGGCCCGGGGGGTGAGCAAGAGGAGGCTCACAGGGTCCGACGACCACCGGTTGGGGATGACCGGGCGCTGCTGGTCCACAACCACCACCTTGCGCATGTCCTCAAAGCTCGGATCCGACGGCACCATGTCATAGAAGGGTGGCATGTATTCCTCAGCAATCCCTGCAGGCAAACGCCACAGGCTCCATGCAGGACTCCAATAGATGAGCGCCACTTGTCCCCCTCAGAGGAAACAACCCCCAACGCCAAAGGATCATGCCAGTCTGTAAACGTTCCAATGTTGCAATACTAATCACAATACTTTTGCGTTCTGCTGCATAAAAACAGAGGGAGAGTAGTTTCGTTGCCCCAATTAGCCAAGAAACTATTTCTCTTGTTCTGCCTTCATGTCCAAACTAAAAGTCAGCCACGATCGACGTGGCGACTGCCCATTCGACGTTGCAAGGGCCGTTTGATGCGGAGGTATGTGAGCACGGTGATAAATTACGGATGGAGTTACGATTCTTATCAACGAAAAGTCTGCAGCTATGGGTTTTGAATACGGCTTTAACCGTGTGGGTGGTTGTGTTCGTAGAAGTGAAAGATAGGTAAAACTACGTCCTAGTGTGCTCATCTGGCAGATTTATACAGCTGATTAATTACAGCGTTTAGACATTTTATTTTTTTATTTATCGCATGTTTACACCCCGACATTATTTATTTATTTTTCATAGAAGACACTGCAAAGTTTAACTCTGAATTTCGGAGAATTGGGAATTAAAGAAAAATAAACTCCAATAAACTCAGAATTTTTGGCAAAAAATAAACTCTGAAAAACACCCTCCAAATATTAGGCAAAATATAAAGACCAAAAAACACCCTCCGAATCCGACGAAAAATAAACTCTAAAAAGATGAAATCATACCTACAATACATAAAGCTAAATGGCGCCGGTTATAGAAAGCGGACCCCTTTTTCCCATCCAAATGTTCAGAAAATCACCTAGAACTTTAGACTGAATAATGGTCATAGTTTTGAAACTTTGGCACCTGGGGGGCTAAACTCGCCTCCGGCGGGAATCTCTCCGATGCCACGTCACGAGGGAGGGGAGGAGCTTCTTTTGACTCCGCCCCGGCGTGTTTCTCACTCCCCCTCTTACATTTCCGACCCCCCCAACGGCGGCGAGTTCCCCAGCGTAGCTCCGATTTTTCCCTACGCTCCGCAGTGAAGGGTTGTTATTTTATTTAAATCGGGGGATCGGTGGCCGGCTGGGCTAGCGCACAGCAGCTCGAAGCACGTCGAGGGAAAGGTCCGTTGCAGAATCCAGGATCCTGAGTTCAATCCCCACCCCTGCCCTTTGCGACGTTGATGAGCATCGTACCGGCGTGCAGTCGTGTATCACTACTGCGGGATGGACGTTAAAGACCCCACGCTAGCGGTTGTACGGCACTGGCTAAATTCCTCGGAGAATCGCCCCCGTTGAGGCAGACCACGTTTTCGGCAGTATCAACATACATACAGCCCAATTTTCTTTATTTAAATCGTAAATGACAAACAAGAATAGGTAACAGCAGGGATGCTAATTATACAAACATTGCTTGGATATGGCCTAGTTGACTAGACATTGTCATGGTTTGCTGCGCCACGTAGAAAAACGCTCTTGATAAAGATTGAAACTAAAGCAGAGAATAGACGAAAAACAACATACAGGAATGGCGCAGACTAACAACTGTGTAATTTCTTTCTCGTCTTTCTCCCCCCACACCACCACACAGACACATTGTGTTTTTCTTTTTTTTCAAGGTAGGGTGCACGTGGAGCAAAAGCTCGCGGTGCAGAACCCAGGATCGTGGATTCATCCCCACCACTGCCCGTGTCGATCTGGATGAGCATCGTACCGGCATGCGGTCGTGTATCACTACTGTGTGGTGCACGTTAAAAACCCTAGGCTAGCAGTCATACTGCACTGGCTAAATTGCTTATCTACAGTAGGTAACAATGTCGCAATGTTCTCCTGCTGTATAAACAACTAACGGCCAATTTTTTTTTGTCAAAATACGGTGTGGAAGGAGAAAGATGAGAAAGAAACTACACAGTTGTTAGTCTGCGCCATTCATGTACATTGCTTTTCTTCTATCATCTGTTTTAGTTTGAATTTTATCAAGTGCTTTTATCTTGCATCCACGCAGCACAGCAGCCCATCAAAATAATTGTAAAAGCCTGTAGGTAACGGTAAATTGCGTTCCTGGTTGCAGATTGCCGTAAAAACACATTTGTTTCTAGGATTCACTTTGTAGAATTTGGCTGTAGGATTCACGACGGGGGCGAAATTCATTCACGGCTCCATCGCCTCAAGCCCAGTTCGCCACGCAGTTCACCGCACAGCCACCTTACCACGTCTTTCGAGAGGCGAAAATGAACGTCATCCACGTCAAACACATTGGCGTGGTTTAAATACCTATGCCGACGGCAAAACACGAACGAAAACGCTGCCATTTTGGACGCTTCTCCCTGATCTCGCACCCAACTCGCCCAAACTCGCCTAGGTCGGAGTCGGCAAGCTTTTCCCATCCGCGGCGGCTTCTGCCACGTCACAATGACGTCACCGCATCTCGCCGCGAGTTCCGAATATGCCACTCTCCGACTGCCTCAAACCCTCCGTTTAAAGTCACAATCTAGGGAGTGTCGGCGCGTGTCGTCATGCACGGCGCCGACCAATTGTGGCAGTCGGCGAGTTTGGCAGTCGGCGTTGGGCGACGCATAGTTACTTCAAGGAGGGGGGCAGTACATCCCCACCGGAAGTGACATAGTGCGTGGATGGAGCCTTATCTCCTCCCGACTTGGCTACATCCCCCCGCGCGTAGATGGAGCCTCTGCCTCGAAAAATACACTGTCCATTTTTTCGGGGGACACGCTGTACAATGCAAATTGGCATTATTCTATTATTTTTGTGGCTGATACATGTGCTAATTGTTTTCCAGGGATTGTTCGTCTTAACAATTGCATTCGACAAGGCGTCAAGATTATTTGGTCGTGAATACGATAAAACGTAATTATGTTTTACGTAGCCCGGGAGAAGAGTGAAAGCTACAGTGAGAATGAACTTGTCGACATTTTTGGATTTGGGGGCTTTCGCTCTCGGAAAGGGGGATGTAGCGGCGTCATGTGCGAAAAGGGTGTGCCGTGTATTGTGTGGGTAGCATGCACTAGATAGCGCACTTCTCCGTTTCTCTTTGTGGGCTGGGTCGGCCGTGATTGTGAATAAAGCGCTTGGGTACGCATGCAAAAGGGATGCTTCCTTCCCCTGACTAGGGCGAGTCGCAACACGTACAATCCCATACCTAGGATTCCCGCGAGGATTCGTGAATGGTGGTAACAGCAAGCTTTAAGAACTAAGGCTCTCTGCCCAATCTCTTGCAGACTCCTCAGACAGCTGCTACTTCCTGGCAGCAGACAACTCTCTTCCCGGTAGAATGCACCCGGAGGAATTTCCCTTGAACCCTCCATAATCTTTTGAAAGACCTGAAGCACAAGCAGTTCAGGGCTGTGCTGCCGGCCCAGGAGGGGGACCAAAAGTGAGTGTACCTCCACTGAGGCAGCGTCGACAGACCTCCCAGAGCACGAGCCCCAAGGCGTAGATGTCCACACGGCGGTACGACTCAAACGCCGACGTGTTGAGTGTTTCGTCGAGCAGCTCGGGTGCCATGTAACGCTTGGTGCCGACCCGGTGGTTGTGCGCAATGTTGAGCTGCCCTGTGGCTTGCCTGTGCGTCACGGCCAAGCCAAAGTCAGCAATGACGCACGTCCCATTCGCCTTCACCAGGATGTTCTTGGTCTGCATAAGACAATGGCACACATGCTTTCCTTCATGTCCTCTGTGCCATTTTTTGACACCATAAGCACTCACCAACAGGAAAAACTTTTACATTCTTCTATATAAATGGCGAGGAAAATATAACAAATACCTTGCAAATACTTAAAACACACTGAGCTCATTTGTATTATAACAAAATTAACTGTTGGACTAGTTGGTTAGACATCACCAAAAGGACAAGTGGAAGAACAAGACAGGACAAGCACTACTATCAACTCATGCTTTAATACATTACAGTCCACTTGTGTTCATTCCACATAGTATCGTTTAATCCCAGCCTGTTCAAAAGCCCTGGCAAAAGCCCATACATTTTTATAGAAAAAGAAACTCATCTTGAAATATAATCTCGGTTAATTCGACCTAGAGAGAACCGGCGGTGGGCAAAAAATAAAAAAACAACAACCCCGATTGACTGTGCATTACACACAAAAACAGGCTTTTTTTTCCGGATTACACGGTAGGGAAAATACAAGCACGATTGGCCGCACCCATCAACCAAAAAACCCGTTTTCAAAGTGCAAGCCGAATAATGAAGAGAGAGAAAAAGATGCTGAGACACAGGACACGGCTGGGTCTCAACACAGAACGACCACTGCAACACCAGCAAGCACTGCTCCGCAGCAGTGTTGCAATGGTTGCTGGCAGCGCACAACCAAAACAACCACTGCAGCACCACTGAGAAGCAGTGAGCGCTGCTCCTAGGTGGTGCTGCAATGGTGCCACTGCACCAAATGCACAAACGACATACACGGCTGCTACCCCCCCCCCCCCCCCCCCCCCATGCGGCGGTGTGCGACGGCTCAATATGAAAATATAAGCCCATCTGATCTAAAGCGCTGGATATTCAGAATTTCATACACATCTTTTAATTGCACTAATTCGACCCTATTTCGCATGTCCCATCAAGGTCGTATTAAGGGAAGTCGACTGCAGTAGTCAAAGACGAGGAGGAAGTGAGGGATAGGATAACTGAGTAGACAGACAGAGGTAATGTTAATTTCAAAACAAAGAGTGAAAGAGCAAGTTTTCGTAAATCATATAAATTCAATACAGTGCAACCCACTTACAATGATACCACATATAACACTGTACCGCTTATAACGATTAGTTTCTAGAGTCTCTAAGCTGGAAGTGATCAGTTTCTAGCCCAGATACAACGATAATCGGTTGTAACAATTGAAATTTCGGGTTGTCTCATTATCGTTATGGTAAGTGGGTTACACTGTCGAACATGACAGCTTCGAGAAACTCTTATTAAAGAAAAATTCTTCATGATAGGGGTTGAGGTGGTTCATTTCTTTCTCAGGCTGCCATAGACCCCTTCAAAAATTACGCCCTCTTACAGTCCATCTGAAAGTACTGCAAAGTGGCATGCGCAAAAAGCACCATAAAATGGCAAGTCTATGAATTGCCTTAGAATTCTATGAATTGTCTCGGAAGTCAGTGTTATATCAGCTATAGACTTGCCAGTAAGATGTTGGCGTTTTTTGCACATGCCATTTTACAATATTTTCAGATTGAACGCAAGAGGGGGCTATTATTGAAGGGCAGTTTCACCAATGGACCTTAACTTTGATGGTTCTAGCCACATAAATCTTCCTGGTATTCCAGTTATGGAATCGCTTGAGTAAAACTACTTTTGTCTGGCGTCCAGATTGGTGCATCAAATCATCACTTATAGGACTTTTAAAAGAATGAGGCATAAAAAATGGAGCAATATATGCGGATGAGAAGCGTGCCAAGGGTATCCAATAGATGGCGCCACAGAGCTTGTTGCCAAACAAGAAAGGCATGCATGCAGGGCCAAAGACACCTTTGTTTTCTTCAAAATGATCAATATTTTCCAAAACTGAAAATAAATATTTAACGAGAGTAGAAATGCGATACATCCTGAAACAATGTCAAAGGAGCAACCTTTAGCTCCTTTTAAGACACATGATGATAATGATGATTGGGGTTTTGTGGCGCAAGAACAACTTAAGCCATATTGCACCAACCAAAGGTTTTTCCAAGAAGCTTAGAGATGTAATCCAAAAGAACTGCAAGCTACAACTGGTGTAAAAGGCCAGTTTTATGGAGGAACTTTATAAGTCGATTGAGGGTACCAAGGGTTGATTACCAAGCAGAAAATATGAATGAAAGGGAAGGTGATCTTGGAGAAGTTCTGGAAAACATGATCGGCGCTGTTGATTCAAAGATTTGCAATGCCACAGGATGTGCTAAACAGTCATAGCTTTGCCACAGTTGTCCCAAAGCTTAACATCCTCACCACAGAGCAGGTACAAGAGAGTCCAATTGGTATGACCAATTCTTAAGTGGCAAAGGAGAACTTCAAATTGATGGTCCTCATGGAAGGAGCTCTTCCATACCCCTTGATAACGTGAAGCTTGTTCTCTTTTTCCCATACCCCAGTCCACCTGCCATGACTTGATAATCGATTTCTGTATGATTGATTTCAGGTCTAGGTACGGCAGGGCAAAGAGCAGTTTGGGGCACTCTTTTGCAGAGGCAGCAAGCAAGTGTGCTTTCTCATGGTTGGAACCCAGCAGAATTTCATCGGGTGTCCTAGCTGAAGTGCCTGGCTTAACCGTACCCGAAGACGTTGCATGACCAAGTTCTTGCTGTCTGCTAAGGACGAAACGGCTAGAAGAACGCTCTGGGAATCGACAAACAGAATTGCTTTCATGATATTGTTCTCCAATAAATACTCTACAGTTATTAAAATGTCATACAATTCAGCAGTCAAAATATTTTCAAGAGAGTTGAGTTGTCGAACTTCCCACAGGGGTGGAGGCAAGCTTCAGCCTTTTGGAGCAGGTCTGGGAGCAGCAAAGATGCCCCTTTGGACCAGCTTTGGAGCAGTAAAAGTTCAGCTTTAGAGCAGCTCAGGAGCAACAAAAATTGAGTTTCGGAGCACTATAAGCAAATCTTGGAACTCCTTAAAGCTATAAGCACAGATCTGTTTTTTGAAATACAAAAAGAAATATAAATAAAAAAGCATCTCCATGTAACGTTCCAGAACCATTTCCAAACATAAACTTTCCTTAAATATATTCCAACCCATAGCAAAAAGACATTTGAATGGCTACCATTGAGTGGCTACCATTGAGAACTCTCCTGATGGTAGCGGGTTGGTTCCTCTCATGGATTTACAATAGTAGGCATAGGCAACTAAAAAAAAAAAAAAAAAACTTAAGCCTCATGAAAACAAGACATTTTCACTGTTTAACAACCTAAATTGCACAGTTAAAAACAAAACCATTTCAAACTGCAATAGTATGGTATGAAATAAAGCCCAATACTGACTACAGCTCACCATTAGGAAATACAAAAGTTTCAAGTCCCTTTTTAGCCAACAAAAGTATTCCAATACTATGAACAGAGTACAAATCAAGAGTATTCCAATCCTTGACAGAGTACAAATTTACTCTGTATGATAAAAGTATAAATGCAAAATATTGAAAACTTCATGATACCACCTATACCATTCCTGCTCATACACACACACTAAATTAACCCTTACTAAAAGAGGCATCACTGACTAAATAAAAACAAGAGAGCTTGATTAGGAGTTTAATAAAAAAAATTAAACTGACAAAACTAGCAAGTAAGACCATAAAACGGAAGGTTTTCCTTAAGTCAATACGAAGTGCAAGTTTGTCCGCTTCTTGCACAGGGGTTGCATGACGTCAAAACGGCGAGCTCTTATTGGCTGATTAGAAAAAAAAATAGTGGGTATATCTCAAGGCCCCTAGCATTGAGGTCTACCCACTATCATTTCAATCAAAACCAATCGGAGCTCAGCGTCGTTCTGAAGTCACTGCATCTGCTGTGCAAGAAGCAGACGACTTGCTCTCCGCATTGCTTGGATGCAATCTAGCACAACGGCTTAGAATTTACTTCGCTCAGCAGGACATTCCCGCTGTTCTCCTCGACCTCGATTTGCTCTCGATGTTAGGTGGGCCATCTCTCAGGATTTTACGGTAGTAAACCGAGCGAGCCAAATCCTTGCTGGCTAAGCTTATCACGCCAAAGTAATAAAGCAGACTGTCTCTTCACACAGCGCATACTTTACAGCGTTGGCTGCGAAACAATCACAATTTTAGGCACAAGAGACCAGGTGTACTGAAACCCTTGCACATCAAACTGGACAGGAATGGACCGATCTCACCAGCTAGTTCAATTGAGTACGCCACCGCTGCTGACATGCATTGTGGGAGCTTTAGTCTTTCTGCATGCGCGACAACCCTGCTGGAGGTCTGCGCGAGCAGAGCACGAGGCGGTATGAGCTGTTTCGTGAACTGGCGTCTGCCTCCTACGAACTACAGTTATGGCGGCGTCACGCATGCGTGGAACGCTTGGTGAGATCGGTCTATTAGCCGATTGTGCGAAGGGGCTTTGTCGTCCTATTGGCAAAAGACTACTTTCCGATTCATGTTTGGTAAAATTTTGATTGTACTTCCTGGGAAATCGTATACTCCAGAAATGTATGAACCAAAAAATACATACATGAGACATATGTTTCCGTGTTTCTAATCATGAACGTATGAACCAGAAAATTGTATGGAACGGAAACATATCACAGAGGTTGTACAGTAGCGCATTTCTACCGTCATGCACAGGGAGTAGAAATCGATTAACACGCTGTCAAACTGGGGAGCTTAAAATCCTCTCGACTCGTTCAACAGCACAAAAGACGCCAAGTCTAGAAGCTCCGAGCGGAACATGCTTAAGTCGCGACGTGGAACTACGAAATGCCACTAATCGCCTTTTAAAACAAAGATCTTTCAGTTTTGGACACAGTTGTTTGAGCGCTATTTCGACAGTGACCGATCCCCCTTTTCTGCATTGCCAGTTTCAGAGTTTAAGTGGTGCGGCAAGCGGGAATCTTCCTTCGAGCAACGAAGCCATTGCTACCACTGAGCTCCTTCCCAATACCTTGATGTCCCGGTGGGCGATGGCAGGCTTGCCCTGGGTGCCGTAGATCTCGGTGTGGAGGTGCACAATGCCCGAGACGGTCGACAGGGCCACCGCCATCATCTGCTGGCTGCTGAGTGGGGCCGTGCTGAGCCAGTCGTAGAGCGAGCCCGCCTGCAGGTACGGCGTCACCAGCCACAGCTGGGTGCACGAGTTGTGCGAGGTCACGTCCGAGCCCAGGTAGCCCAGGATGTTCTCGTGCCGCATCAGCACCGTGCTGTAGATCTCCGTCTCCCGAGACCAAGACGCCTCGTCACGCGACGAGAAGATCTTCACCGCCACGCTCTCGCCAAACCACACGCCGCACCACACCTCCCCGTACCGGCCCTTGCCTGCGCCAAGAGACCTTCTCAGCGGCCCTTCTGCCCTGCACTCTCCCAACACACCTTTGGCAAAGCTCTCGCCCCATCGAGTTGCAAACACAAGCCTTTCTGCATGGCCAAAGCAATTACAGTACATTCGCCCAGTCAAAGAAATATTTTCAAGCACAGAGCAGGTCATGTCACTTATGTCCAAACAGCTACCAGATGACACGGGGCAATGCACTGGCAATGCCATTGCTGCTAGTGCAGTAACGCAGAGCAGCTATTCTTAATTACCATTTCAGGCTATTTTTCTATTCATCATTCAGAGTAAATTTGTTTCAGCTAAGATCTAAAAAGCTAAATAGTCACATTTATTTTATATAAGAATGGACATCTAAATCCATATAAAAAGTCATAAAATGGTCACTGGTTGATATTTTTGGGCAACTCTAACAAAAATGAATATGAAAGAAACAATTAATAGCAATTTCGAGGCAAGTTTGCACCTAGGCGTAACAATTAAATGGGGCTCAATCCCAGTGGCTGATGTTATTCATCCCCAGGTATTTGTAGGCTTCTCATTTGTCACTCAAAATTTCTGAAAATTGCTCATAACTTTTGAATCTAGAAATGACAAGCTCTGAAACTTTGGCACCTGGTCTCGATCACTATACTATAACTTTTCTTGGCATTTTGGAGGAGAGGAGGAGAGCTTTTGTCTGCACTTAGAATGGGAGGGGGCCCACAACTTGGACTGCATTGCCAAGAAAAGTTATCCCTAAGTAGAGCACTACATATTGGCCGGAACTGGGTCTTTGATGTTGGAGTTTATTTTTACAGCAAGATAATCATTTTCTTCCAGGTACAGACAAGAACATCCCGAGATAGCTTTTTCTTGTTAACCTTAGCGTCACACAGTAAAAAAAAATAACTCAACATATTTATGGGAACACGACGGAAGAGCACACGACAAAACAGCATGAGTCAAAACAGCACAGCGACACATCAGCACGCGACAAATCAGCACGACATCAAAACAGCGGAGACACAGAAGAGCACGTGCCAAAACAGCATGCAACAAAACACCACAGCAACAAAACAGCACGTGCATAAATGCATGCTGGTTTTTCACTGTAGGATGAATTATTAGCGAGGCGTGCCTAAATTAAGTACTCGCTGCTAACATGTTTGGCAGAACATGTGTTTGGGCAAATGCCCCATTCGGGCATTGGGACGTCGGAACCAGTTGGGGTGCATCCGCTTATTCCTGCGATTTCCATCTGCTGTTCTTGCCGCATGTTGTGTGCTGTTCTCGCCAATCAGTGCCCTGGACGCACTCTACCGGGAAGCCTGGTAGGCCTAAGGAGCCCGATGCGCTTGCCCGGGGTGCAGGCAAAAGGCTGGACGACGTGCCAAAGGTGTCAGAATTCAGGACCATCTCCTGTATTGTATGATCATGTGCTAGTCGCACGTGCCAGCAGCCGTTCCCGCTCAAAACAACAAATGCTAAGTATTGATTCGTCCATCAAAGCAGCTGATTTGTGCCGAGCAATCTTGACGGCAGCAATATTGCGATCTTTTTCGCCGACATTTGTGTGCCGTTCGGGAGAAAAGTAAGGCTTATCTGTACTCGTTATTTCCACCATTGAAGTCTCCTTTTTAAGCTATCACAATGCAGCTAAACCCTGCTAAGAATCGCTGCTTCGATCACGCCGACTGCATAGGTACCGATCAGCGGGAGCAGACATAAATAAAGTGGAGCAGAGTGCGCCCGACTGTAATCACGTTTGGTCGGGCTCTCCTTATAGCCGATTCACACAACGGACCGAATCGCAATTTTCGTCCGCGGACCGTGTACCACGTGACCGGCATGTCACCGATTCCTGCGATCCGCGCCTCGTCCGCGGACGCGCGGTCTGATAAAGTTGAGTGCCTTTTTCACTCGCGGACGTTTGGCGGGAGCTTGACTTGGAAAGTGTTTAGTCTGACAACGGTACATTGTTTTCTTGGTTTTTTGCTTCTGGGCGTTCAAAACAAAAATGGCGCATCGTTGTGTTTCGTGCGTTCGTTGGTTCATTTTGACGTGCGATTCTTGGTTCCACGAGGGAAAGAAACTCCAGAAACTTGTCTGGCTGACGCGACGCAGGTTTCGGTACTCCTCCGGGTCCGTGTCAAGAAGCTCCCGTCATAACTTGTCGAGCACGCCGCGGTAATTCTTGCACGTCCGATCAGGATTTCACCGAGCAAGACCTCTCTTGTGAATGTGGTGTGCTTGAGTGTTGTGCACGAGCGCGGAGTGCATGAAGGCAACGGTGAAGGCATCTCCAAACGCCCCTCCGCGAGCCCAGAACTTTGTCGCGTCTACGCCGAAGCTTTCTCGAGCAGGACCTGGACCACACCTGTGTCACCGTCATGCTTTGGGTTAGTAAAGTTAGTGGCGCTTAATGTGAAGCCTGCCCCGGTGTTTTGTCTCGATCTGTGCGTAACAGCGGCGTACGATTCTTAATCGCGGTAGCAAACGTCGATTTCTCTCTTGGACAACGGTGCCACGGTGCGATGTTGGAGTTTCGCGGCACTGTGGGGTGGCGAGCAGTCGTCTCCCTCGTGTGGATGCGCTTGGGAGACGGATGAACCGCGGACATGTCATCACGTGATCAATCCGTCCGCGAATCAGTTCGTCGTGTGAATCGGCTATTAGCGGAGCAGGGCGTGGCATGGCAGAATACCAACATCCTTCTCAGTTTGAGTCTAGGACGATGCAAGGGGGCTCTTGAGACTCTCGTCACGGCAGTCGTAAAGCCTAACCAGCACCCAACCCTCTAATCAATTCATTTTTCCCAATGCGTCACCAGGCAAAAGCGTTTTGCTTCTCATTTTAACTTGCTTATAACTTCCAAAATAATGTGAACAAAAAAAAAAAAAAACATTTTTTTGCTTGTTTTTACGTTTGATGAGCTCCATTTTTTTTTTTTTTTTTTCAAACCATGTGGGCATGGGAACAGCAACATGATGACTATACCTCATGGTCTGCATTTTTTCATAGTTTAGGTTGGTGATGAACCTCGTATCTTTGCCAGCTAAAAGAACTCGCGACATATTCTTAATTACGTTCCCATGCCCACATGCGCTAACGATGGGCGAGTGTTGTTACATCGCTGCTGCTGCTTTCTGCTGATAAAACCCAGGCCCCCAGACAGACCTCGCTCTTTGGTCTGATTCAAATGCTCCGCCAGAGCCATCGTTGGCGGAAATTATGTCTCTGCTGACAAGTCCGTTTGCAAAAATTTGAAAAAGGTCAGGCTGGTATGATTAAATCTGGGGACGAGATTAAACACAACCAGAAGTCAATCGAAAGTCAAGTAGCTCACATAGGAACTCGAATGTCAACATTCGAATCACAAACAATTATGCTTGCAGATCCTTCAAGAGAGTTTTGAGTCGTGCAACAAACCGTCCAGGTTGTACAGAAAGAACACACTGCCCTGTGTGCACGACTCAATGACTTTGAAGATAGGCTGTGCCATGACAATCTTATTTTTTCATGGTGTTTCTAATTCCCCGCCTAAAAGAGAAAAAAAACTGAAAAATTCTTTATGTGCATGTGCCAATTTTCAGACAACCCCCCGATAGCATTGAACGTGCGCAGGGCGTCTTTCAGGCCAACAAAAGCCGACTGATTATTGTTAAGTTTTCATCTTTTAACGTAAGAGAGAAAGTGCTCGCATCACGCCCTAGCCTAGGATCCTAGAGTGTTTCGGTCTGTGAAGACTTTTGTCCTGAGACGCGTCTTATCAGGAGAAAACTACAGTAATCTCTCGTTATAAAAAAAAACTGCTTTTTCGAATTATCGTTTTTATCGAAGTTCACTGTGGTCCCAGCCAACATGGATGCATTTTGAACTGAATCATTCAAAGTGCATCGGCAGGCAACCACACTTATTATGAAAGCTGAGGTGCCGAAAGCATGCACGCAGGTGCACAAAGACCCTTGTGTTCCCTCCCCCTTCTCCACCGAGGCGAACTGGGAAAATGTCAAACAAATGAAACAGGTGACGGAGGGCAGAGCGCTGCTTCTGATGCGGGCAGGTAGCAGCGGGAGCAGTGTCTATGTTCCAACGCTACTCCTGGCGCCCGACGCTGCCCTTGGAATCGGGTCGAGGGAGCGGTGGAGCCCAGAGGAGCTCATCCCTTCGGGACCCCCCCATGCGCATGCTACCACACGCACACGTGCATCGTATGGAAGTGTTTACCCAAAGTACCTTAGATCTGCAAGGTTGAGAAAAGTGGACGGTCTAAAATCGCCAAAGAATTCAACATTCCGGCATTGGCTGTTCAACACTGTCCACCGTTTTACAGGAGAAGCAAGGCATACTGGATGGGTTCGAGAAGGTTTTCATGCATGAGAAAGCACACCCGGGACCCCAAGATGAAAGATTGCGCAGTTTTTGGATTTTCTCTGACGCCTGCCAAGCCGGTGCACCATTCCCAGAGCTGCAACCGTCTCTACAGGAGTGTGTGAAAACACGTAGGAGAAGCCACCGAGAATAACTCATTCGTTTGCGCTCGTCAATGCAAACATCTCCGTTGTTGCTCCTGCCACGGATGCTGCGATCGCAGACCTTGCATGTGGCCAGGGTAAACATGAAGCGAGAGGCACCTCGGGAAACGCCGACTGCGGAGATGCAAAACAATTTAAGGCTGCTTCGAAACAATGTAGAGGGCAGTGGCGGTGACTGCATTCCTGTAAGGCCTGGAGCAGTACGAGGAGAACTGACGCCCGGATGAAATTATCGGCAAACTCCACTTACTTACTTTGTTTACTCGGTAAAGCTGCCGCGAGATGTCCATTACAAAGATTTGTTTGATCAAATATGTGGTCAGAGCCAGACTTGGACGTAGTGTTCCTATCCACCTTCGAGGCTTCTGGCACTCAGTGATGTGAGTGGCCTTAGCCGTTTTGGAGCACCTTTTGGAGCAGCTAAAACAGTGTTTTGGAGCAGCAAAAGTGGCCTTTGGAGCAGCCAAAAC